TGTAATGACGTACGTCAAGTCACCCTTCACCTTTCGGCTTAGGGCATCTGCGACGATGTTTGCCTTTCCCGGATGGTACTGGATAGAACAATCATAATCCTTGACCAATTCGAGCCAACGGCGCTGCCTCATATTAAGCTCCTTCTGCGTGAAGATGTACTGTAGGCTCTTATGGTCAGTGAATATCTCGCAATGTCCGCCGTAAAGATAATGTCGCCAGATCTTCAGGGCGTGAACGACTGCGGCTAACTCCAAGTCGTGCGTAGGATAGTTCTGCTCATGAGGTTTAAGCTGACGTGAAGCATACGCAACGACCTGTCTGTCCTGCATAAGGACACATCCCAAGCCCTGTCTCGAAGCATCACTGAAGATAGTGAAACTCCGAGAAGGATCGGGAATAGTCAACACCGGTGCTGTAGTCAATATTTTCTTGAGCTCCTGAAAGCTCGCCTCACATCTGTCAGTCCATTCGAACTTCACAGAGTTCCTCGTCAGCTAGGAAAGAGGGAGGGCAATCTTGGAGAAGCCCTCGATAAACCTGCGATAGTAACCAGCCAAACTGAGAAAACTGCGAACCTCGGACGGACTCCTCGGTGTCGACCAGTTCTGCACGGCTGAAACTTTAGAAGGATCCACCTCGATGCCTGCTTGGGTAATAACATGACCCAGAAAAGATACTCGCTGAAGCCAGAACTCGCATTTGGAGAATTTGGCGTACAACTTCTCTCGTCTGAGGGTTTCAAGAACCACCCTCAGATGCTCCTCATGCTCCTTCTGACTCTTCGAGTAGATAAGGATATCGTCAATAAAGACAATAACGAACTGATCGAGGTATGGATGCAAAATACGGTTCATGAGATCCATGAATACTGCTGGCGCATTGCTGAGACCGAAAGGCATGACCACAAACTCGTAATGGCCGTAACGAGTCCTGAAAGCGGTCTTAGCGATGTCTGACTCTTTAATCTTCAGCTGGTGGTAGCCTGATCGTAGATCAATCTTTGAAAATACACAGGCTCCCCTCAACTGATCAAATAAGTCGTCGATCCTGGGAAGCGGATATTTATTCTTGATCGTTAACCGGTTAAGATCCCGGTAATCGATACACATACGCATGGATCTGTCCTTCTTCCTAACAAAGAGAACGGGTGCTCCCCACGGTGACACGCTCGGTCGGATGAAACCGAGTCGTAACAGCTCCTGAATCTGAGTCTTAAGCTCCTGTAACTCCTTAGGCGCCATGCGATATGGGGCTTTAGATACTGGATCGGCCCCTGGGATAAGATCAATAGAAAACTCCACCTGACGGTTGGGCGGTCCTCCTGGAAGCTCGTCTGGGAATACGTCCACGAACTCGCGAACGATTGGAACATCATGAGGTGTCCGCGCTTTCTGAGAATCCTCGACAAGGCTCACCAGGTAACCCTGGCAGTTGCCTCGTCGCAATAGCTTAGTGGCTTTCGCCATTGAAACAACATGAGGCAGTGAACGATTCTTGGAGCCGAAGAAATTAATAGACTCGTCTCCCGGAAGATAAAGAGTGATCTCCCGGTCATGGCACCTGATGTCAGCATGATAGAAAGATAGCCAATCCATCCCGAGAATAAGATCGAAATCCTTCATCTCGAGAACGAACGCGTCGGCAGTCAATACTCGGCCACCGATGGAAAGGCTAAGATCTGCAGCTTTAGCTGAGGTCACTATCTTTCGTCCCGAGGCTAAACTCACCTCGAGAGGATCGATAGTGATAACGGCTTGAACTCCGATGGCGTCAAGACATCGGCGTGAAATGAAGGTATGCGTCGCTCCGGTATCGTATAAAGCGAACACAGGAATATCATTAAGAACAACCATCCCGGACATTGTACCTGGCTGCTGTGCGGCCTCCGCCTGATCAACTGCGTAAACCCTGGCCTGCTGCCTACCCCTCTGCTGCTGCTGCTGCTGCTGACGCGGCCTCTGTGCCTGCTGTCGTGGCTGCTGCTGCTGTGGTGGCTGCTGAGGCTGC